TCTTCACCAGACTCCGTTTTTAGACCTAATATACGTAACATTTTATTTGCAGACTTCTCGTGGGGACTGTTTTCTGCTCTTGTTTCCTCAATTTTTTCAGTAGAAAAGTATTGATAATGTCGACGATATTTGTTAAGCATAAATAAAAGCATAAATCACCTATGTTCTTCATTGAATCAGGCGAATCAGTTGACATTGGTACACCATTTTTAAATCACACACAATGAATAGCTTTTTCTAAAGGGAATTTTCCTTCTCCACTCCAAAAAAATTATGACAAAGAAGGTGTAAACCTCGATTTCCTCTAATGCTCTAAAAAAAAAAAGAAGAAAGAAGTAATACCTTAGAATGCGTTGGTCAGTGGTACAGGCAGATTATTTAGCGCCTTCCTCCTGGAATATTACGGTTTAAGGTCCTAAATTTGACTTTTAAATCTAGAAGCATCATCAAAGAAGTCTCGCCCCTCAAACAACCGTCCATCATCGACAGCAAAACAGTGTGGATAAAGAAAATATGAACACAGCAGGGGATAGACGCCAAGGATACAGAGATTGACTACCCACCCCCCATCATGCTCCTCCTCAAGTGCAAATGTTGCAGCAGGCGTTTTTCCGTGGAATTCTTTTCGTCCGAAGGATACATCAATGATCGGAATAAAGGTCTTGGACGTGCCAGCCCAGTTTTGGAGAGTGGAGATTAGGTTAGGTTAGGCGTTGCACCGATCTTAGTCTCTCAAAATCCATTCTTGGAACTTCATTTTGCCTCTTTATTAATTTCTTTTTTTACTTTCCAATTATAAGTGTGGCCCGCAAGTACTTTGCAACAGAAGGCATGTAAGTAAGATCAGGAAAAGCGTTATTTTATGGCGTGCGATTCCACCTGCATCTATCGTGGCTGAACGGCAGGTGGATTACAGGGTGGTAAGAGGTGGATTTGGAATCAGGCAGACGTCCCTCCAGGAGGTGATTTTTTGCTTAGAATGATATCCACCTGGTACCAAATCCATCTGGGAGGCTTGCAGGTCGTACATGCCACAACGATCTGGAACCCCAAGATCTCTGCATTGCTTATCCGTCCTCCTGATCGGAGCCCTGTCTCATTCATTTACATAATGAAAGAAGCCCTTCATTTGCATAAGAATCTTAAAGGTCCTCCGGTCGACGGTGTCCAGAGCATTGCCCTGAACATCGCCGACCGCTCTGCGGGCCAACTGTGGAAGTTGAAGACGGCCGCGAAAGACCGAAACGGCGAAGAAAGGCGCTGAAGAAGAGAACATGAGGATCTTAGAGGATTCCTTTCACCTATTGAAATATAACGATAAAAGGCAAACAAAACGGGAAAATAACATTTTCTGCACAGTTCGTCACCGCGGAGAACATTAATAAATCAAATTGAAACTTGCGAAAGCAAGTTTCAATCACTCTGTGTATGAAATCCAATCACTGTGTATGAAATTGAACTTATCCTGTAAATTCTCCCCTTTTCCTCCTAGAGAAGAATCGTGCATTCCATTCAACAGTCGGTTCTACTGAAATATTAAAAAAAAAATAAAATGATATACTCATCCATCCCTGCATGCCTCATGAAGACTCTCGAAATGACCGGGGAGCGACCAGGATGTCAAAACTTTTACTGGATATCTTTCATTGCGGAAATTTTTTGCACTTGGGAGCCGATTTGAATTCATCGGGTGAGAGACACTAGGACATTTTCCATTGAACACGTCGGCTTTTAATACAGTCGGCGCTCGCTGTCATGAAATTCAAGGGAGGGTCGCTTTCTCATTCGTTGTAACGTATTTTCTTTATAACTTTATAATGGAATTTGACAAAAAAATTATTAAATTTTCGCTACATCTGAAGCTGAAGTAGAAACAAAGTAGAACATTGCTTTGGGCATGGGCTTGAGAAATCGAATGAGGATCCAATTGCGTGAAGGTAATACGTGGAATACCGCTACAATTAAAATCCTGTTACATTATCGGTTTGTTATGTGACAGAATTAGCATAAAAACTTTACTATTTATTTCTAAAAGCTGCTTTTGACTATTGGTACTAGAAAATTATTTCATTACCTGGTACCTTTTGCAATAAAGTAATTCGTTACAACGATTTATAAATTGTACAGGGAAATGCTGGAGACAACCAAATGCTAATTATTTTTTCGTTAAAGCGTACTTCGTTTTAATGAGCGCCGACTGAATCTGACTCGAAGAGAAAGCAATAGGCATGGAAAAAAGCATATTTTAAAACCATCAGCTCCACAAATCCCTCCCTCATAGCGTGTCAGAAGAAAATTCCACCGAAGGGATTAAACGTCTCGAGATCCAGGCATCCTGTCCGACGGCCTCACGTGCCCCATCGGATGGGACTCGACGCGTTCACGCTCGGAGTCGACACTTCCGAGACTCGTTCGGTAGAGATGAGGCAGAGGGTGACCGGGGGATGAGTTGGTGTATCGTCTTGAGTTTTCGCCCGTTGTGGAAGAATCGCGGCGTCCCGAGTCGCATCTGCGACAGACTTTCAGGAAGTTTCGGCGGTAGCGGTCGCTCAGGGCGCAGTAGAGAAGGAAATTTGTGGCGGCATTAACCGCCATGAGGAAGTTGAAGACGTTCCCGCAGATCCTGAGGACGTAATCACCGCGAGTCTCGGGAATGGGATGATGGAACGAGGAGTAGATGAGGACCAAGGCGGTCGGACTCTGGCAGAGGAGAAACAGGACGGACACGGCGATGAGCATGACGGTGACACGGTTCTCGCGGATCTCTTGACGGCTCCTGTGAGCCATGAGGAGCGCTCGCTGACGGGAGCTCCAATGAACGTGGTAGATGAGGAGGATGTTGAAGACAAGAAGAAGGGTCAGAGGGACCAAGATAAACACGGTCGCGGTGAACCAATAGAATCCCTTTCGGTATCTGCAATAGTGAACCAGAAGCCTTTCGATCAGCATAGA